ACAAGAAGCTACTAGGGGCTCCTGGCCGTACTACTAGAAACAAGAAGCTACTAGGGGCTCCTGGCCGTACTACTAGGAACAAGCTACTAGGGGCTCCTGGCCGTACTACTAGAAACAAGAAGCTACTAGGGGCTCCTGGCCGTACTACTAGGAACAAGAAGCTACTAGGCGCTTCTGGCCGTACTACTAGGAACAAGAAGCTACTAGGGGCAAGCTACTAGGGGCTCCTGGCCGTACTACTAGAAACAAGAAGCTACTAGGGGCTCCTGGCCGTACTACTAGGAACAAGGAAGCTACTAGGGGCTCCTGGCATCGCTACTAGTCACAAGAAGCTACTAGGGGCTCCTGGCCGTACTACTAGAAACAAGAAGCTACTAGGGGCTCCTGGCCGTACTACTAGGAACAAGAAGCTACTAGGGGCTCCTGGCCGTACTACTAGGAACAAGAAGCTACTAGGGGCTCCTGGCATCGCTACTAGGAACAAGGAAGCTACTACATGTTGGGGTGCTTGGGGAACCGGGAACCCACGGGCCCGACCCATTGGTTTAGTGTCAACACAACACGGGCCCTACGGTTCCAAGTTCCAAGTCCCGGCAGCGCGGAACACTCGTCGGGTCAGGCGTCGTTTATCTAAATAGTTCTTCATATTGCGGTTGTTCACGATGTGGCACCGCAACGGGTTCCTGGGCATCGGGCAACACCCGTCTCGAGTCACCGTCAAGCGACGGGTGCGAACTGCGACGGGGCTCACGCCACGAAAAAAGAACCGCCATGGGAGGCGTCTGTTGAGTCATTTTATGGTGAAGAAATGGTGAAGAATTGTTCCCACTGGAGGATACTGCCATGGTACCCTCCATAGAAGGAGCGAATTCGTGAGCTTTGTGCAAATTTGTGTTAAGGTAGCTGGTCTGACTTTCAGAAAATCCAAACAGCCTACACATATAATTAATATGCATTACAACCCCAAATCAGGGTTGAGGTACAATAGTGGTTTGGATCAATCATTGTAAACTGCATGTCCCACATTTCATCCAAAAAGCTAAATCAAAGCAACATGAAAGCAAACAACACAAGTTATATGAAAGCAAATCAAGCTGAGCTCCAGAAGAGAGGTCTTTTTGCGGACCCTCCCCCAAACCTGAACCCAAAAGAAACAACTTGAATTAAAGTGGTGGTGACCCCCAGCCCCTTAGATCGAATCACAATGACCTCATCACGATGAGGAGATTTCGGTAGAGGGATGAACCATCCCTGTCCGGTCAGCGGATTCCAGGGCCCAAACATCACTCTAGGACTCCTAGGTCTCTAGCAACAGCAAGAAAAGAATGCAAAGGAACCTTCCTGCAGCAAGGCAAGAATCTTCATCTGTTGCTTGGAGGGGGCATTGTGGCTTCTTTGGCCCTTTTGGTCACCGCATGTCACAGCCATGCCTGCCATGGCTCATGATATTAAAGTCCATATCCCTCCGCAGCTTTGCAATGGCACTGTGTGGGGCATCGGCGCGTGTGATGGCGTTCATGGCCTCCTTCATCTTGCAGCAATCCGCCTCGTGACTCGCTCCGGTGGATGCCGTGCATGACGTCCAGGGGAAAGAAGAGCGTCTACTGTTAAAATAATGAGGGTCCCAAGTTGGCATGTTGCTAGATGTATTATATAGGTGTACCAAAATAATCCAACATGTGGAGATCCATCCATGATCCATGCACCGGGATGAGGTCCATGGTGATGCGAATTGGAAGCCGCGGCCGCCACGAAGTCACAAAACCAAACATTGACAGTGACCAATGGTGACCCAGAAATCCATTGGTAAACGATCCCAATGGGACTGGACCAGGGTTACATTTACTCTCCCTGAAACAATCATGGAAGTGGAAAACCACCGGTTTGTAGAGGAAAACAGTCTCCCAAGAGGCCATCTTCCACTTAGTTGGAGGGAGGGTACCCATTGACCCCATGAACATGGCCCTACATTGTCCGGTCACTGTCCTAGTCCCATGCCATCGGGACACAGAACGCCCTCCTTCCCACCAAAGGATCGATGGTTTGATGAGCAGCTCACGACCATAGTTTTCTTCACAAAGAGAACATGTTGCTTTTTTAAAACAATGTATGAGTGTTTTAATGCGTAGCGGCGTAGCTTCTTTTTTTCTGGATCCCTCCTGATGTCCGACCGCGGGCCCTTCGTTTTGTTCCGTCCACCTTCCATGGTTTTCGGGGGGGAGTGTACCAGACGGACACTCCATGAGTTGGCTCTACAGACTGGGCAGAAGTGCCTTGATCAAGGGGTCGTCCACTGAAGAAAGGCCTTCCACGAAGCCGCAGTCGGGAGATCGTGGCTTGGAGCAAGCAACAATTTGGTGAACCAAACCAGTTCCTAAGCAAATTAGGTTGGAGGCCATCGCTCTTAGGTTGAAAGCCTTCAAATACACAAAAAGTCTGAATGGTTCGTGGAGAAAAAAACCATATTAGAAGTGGTGGATCACTTACCAAACGGGTTCCGTCATTTGGGGGTCCTTCCGCTTGGCGCTGCGGAAGTTGGAGGCCATCGCTCTCATGGAAATGGCTCAACGTCGAACCTCTGGTCGTGGTCTCCGCGCCTGTGGTGGTGCTCTCCGCCAAGACGGTCAAGCCCTCCGTCAAACTATCCACGCCTTTCATGAAGCCTTCCACCTTCTTGAAGACATCCTGCGTCTTACCGGCTGGGCAGTGACCAGTGCAACACTTCCACAACAATCCAAAATCATCCGCATGATACAATTTCATGCACCCGGACCCTGATGATTGATTGCTGTCATATACTAATACAACATACATGGATTGTGCAGGGGTTGGCGAATGGAATCTATGTCTCCTCAAGAGCCTGGTTCCAACTTGCTCCATCCACGAAGACGTTGGTCGGATCTGTGGCCGTGGAAAGCAAGCACGGAAGCACGGTGTCCCGGCAAGTGACCAACCAGCGACGCTCTCCCCGGCTGAAAACCGCCATCTGGACACTCTGGAGGTCGCCCTTCACTCCCGTTTCAACTTCAAGACGCCGGGCCGCGACCGCCGTGTCTTCTACTCTCCCCCGCGACGTCGTCCTGAAGCGTCACGTCGAAGGCAATGAAGTCTTTCACCTCACCGAGCAGACGGACGGACGCGGACGCGGCGTCAGGGTTTGGTGGGGAGGTCATGGGGAGGTCGTTCTGTGTGGACCGACGCCGCATGGTTTTGCTGGCATGTGTGGTATATCGTGGTCATACCTGGATCCGGAAATGGTCCTTCCATCCTTGAGATTTCTTTCAAGACATCCTTGGAGAATCATTCTCCTGTCATCCTCATCCGAAAAAGCTCAGCTCCTGCACCATGAGATCACCAAGCTGGGTATGAGCAGTGGCTGACAGCATCTGAAGACCAAACTTGCATGTGTCGCGTTTCTGAAAAACCTGTGACTGGTCGCACATGGCACATACCTCTCAGGTTGTTGACCTCTTACATGGTCACACACATACACGAGCGCAGCCTCCGTCACCATCCATCATGAATCCATATGAATCCCAAACAAGAAGCAAGCCTCGGCAACAAAAGCAAGACAATTTTGCATCAATTGGCCAAACATGCCTAAACATCCAAGTCTCACCCATTGCACTTATCTTCTGACTCGCAGACTAGCACTTCCTTCACTCTTGACCTGCCGCAGAAACCGCCCGAAACCCCTCTTACTAGTAGTAGCGTCCTTGCTACTATAGTAGCGATGGCCTCCAACCACATAGCGATGGCCTCCAACCTGCATTGCATGCCCCCAATGGCACTGAAACAGCAGTTTGGGGAAGAGGAGGGGAAGGGCCGTCTCGGTCTTCTTTTTGTATATGTGTTTGGTTTTTATTTGTTTAGTGTCTTCCTGACTGGCACCCCCGACCCCGTCTGACCCCCGACGTCCCGGTCCAGTCTTTGTCTCCACCGTCCCCGCCACTCGCTGCAAGCGAGGCCACGATGCCCTCGAAGACCGGGTCCACGGCCTCGCCGGTGAAGAAGCGTTCCTTTAGGACCTGGCCCCGGTGGCCCGCGGCGCAGGCAGGGCGGGTCCACCCGAGTGGGGTGGGAATGGAGGAGTGAGTGGGAGGATGCAGTGGAGTGAAATACCATGAAAATGCGAACCATAAACAGTGTGAGGTTTTGGATGGTTTGGATGAGGGAGCCCCATTGTGGGCCATTTGTGAGCTTTATGCTCAGTGATGGTTTGCGTCTCTTGGGCTTCGTTCGTCCACGTCATCTCCACGTCTCTTTGCCCCAAGTGTGGGGTCCAAGTCTTTGACTCCAGGCCTTGCTCTTGGAGAAACACAGTTTTGTTAGGCCCAGCAGGGTCGGGATGCCCCTCTTTGAATAGACATCCAAAGCCCTGGGAGTCAAAGACGATAAAAAGAATGGTCTTTAGGGGACCTGAAGGGGAACTTCCTTTCTTCAGCCGGTCAAAATATAGTCTTTGGACTTCTAGGGAAAGACCAACCCTCGGACCAGTCTTGTAACACCGATGGACCTGTGGAAAGAGTGGTGGAAACCACGTCGTCAGTTGGTGCATGTCACGGTACGGTACGTGATACGTCCGAAACGTGGAGAACTCTCAAAGGGTTCGGTAAACCAATGGTTGACTTCCCAATGAAAACCAATCACATTCCTGGACCATCCTGTCTGGGTGTCCCGTCTGGAAATCCCTAAGTATAGTGTAATCCAGCCAGGACACAAACAGGATGGTGCCAGGATGTTTTACAGCAGTTTTTGACATCAACCGCCCACCAATTATACAGAAGTCTCATCGAAACCGCGTCCTGTGGGAAACCACCCCCGCACCCGCCACCAACCGGCCTTCCACTCCATGGTTACTGCCGAGAGCTGTTCTCCATCCTGAGATGTCGAATTTTGGGTCCGGAGTTGATGTGTGAAATGGCCCTTCCGAGTCGCTGTTCTTTTTGGGTTGAGGCACGTGCTGTGCAGGGCGCACGGTTCGAACCATCGCAAGTTGGGATGGCATGTCGTTTGGTTGGGTTTTCCACCCTGAACGGCTAACGAAAATGAAGATCAAGCTGCTGCTTGGGGTCGCTGCTGGGTGTTGTTGGTCCGTCAGTTGAGCGGCGACCAGTTCAGTGGCCTGGGGTCTCTCTCTTTCGTGGTTTTCAGGGGTCAATGAGAGGTCAACGAGAACTCCTGCAAACCACCACCACCACCGCTGCCAGGTGGATGTATAGATATATTTTGGAGAAAAAAACAAACCAATAGCTATGCCCTTGAGAGGTCAAGAACCTTCCAGCCTGGCGCCACCCATGGGAGCTTCCTCGTAGGAAGTGTGTTTCCTTTCTTCAACTCCACGGAGCAAGGCTCTCAGGGGACTCCAGATCCAACCAGGAAGGGATCAGTGCATCAGTGCATCCCATGACCAAAGCGACCAAGGGCGTGGATGATGCTTGGTAAAATGTGGGTGTGCTAAATCTTGAGCTCTATATATACCCCAAATACCTCCAAATCAAAGTATAATGGTGAAATCTTTGACTGACTGTTGCAGGTATACTGGGAGACACCCTCAGCATCCTCATCCTTTCGGGAGGATCAGCTTTCGGGGGCGAACTTTGAGTGAGTTCATGTTTCAGCTCTGGTACCGGGCCAGGTGAACCAATATCAAATGGATAAAAATCGATTAAGGTTGTTAGGATTTTTGGGACTATGTCATTCTGGGGTGGTAGTTCCCACGTGTGACGTGATCGTGCATGTGGATCATGATGGGCACCCAACTCCTTCCTCCGTTCGGAACCGGCACCCCCCAACTCCATCATCTTCGTCTTCGACTGAGCCGATGTGCAGAAAACCCCCAAACACCATGCAAAACCCACTGGGCGATGGGCGGGCGACAAGAACTTTGACAAGAATTCGAGAGGATGGCAACAACCACCGGCGCGGTTTCCCCTTAGCACCAAAGCAAAGGAGTTGCCCTATCACAATCCGAGAAACATACTAAACCCGCCAGCTGGCTGCAACATCTTATCTAGTAGCACGCAAATATCCACCAATCAGCTGTTTTCTTTAAAAAAAATCAGGCACCTGCCAAACACGCTCCTGTTCTCACCTCGCTCCGTTTCGCACGTTCCGACGTTCCAAGTCTCCATCGCCCCGCGGCCAAAGCCCACCACCGCCAGCCCCGCGTCCAGCGCCGCCCGCTGTGCCGCAGCCGCGGGCGACGTCGCCGTCGGGAAGGGGATCGTCGCGGCCGGCGACGGCGGGCCCCGCCGGGCGGAAGGCGTTGGAGTTTGGGTTGGAGAGGGGCGGAAGTGCTGATGAGGTGCTTGGGGGGGTGCTAGACTGAGTTATACGTCTAAAGTTAAGTTTGATTCTTAGGAGTCGGGGGATGTAGTCGGTCAGTCGGTTGGTTTTGGCGGTTGGATGTGGTTGGTGTTGGTTTGGCTACGAAACGCATGCGCCTTTCTTGCGGGATCTGGACCATGGTCCAGGGTGCTGCTTGGGTGTTGAAAGTGGGTCGGTTACGGCTTGAAGCTGCTGTTGATTCCAATCATGAGTGTGACCTGCCAGGCAGGGGTCAGCTTTGCCTGTGTCAGATTGCGCTGTGAGTTTGCTGCGGGTAGGATGGCTCTCTTAGGCTTCCTGCCAGTGATTGTAGCTCTAGTTGTTCATCACAAGACCCGCAGCTGAAGATCTGAAGAACATCGGAATCTGATGACATATGCAAGCCATCTATACTCTGTTTCTTCTTCAACTGCCATTTCTTCTGGCATACGACATGAGCCAATGTCACTGCAATCCGAGTCCACTCGCCCGCAACTCGCGAGTCGGAGTCGTCTGTCGGTCCTGGGTCCGACGCATGCCCCCCGTGTTCCCGAGCGGGGTAAGTGTTCCTTCTTGACGTCCATTTAGAAAAGAAATAAAAACACAGCTCAACCATGAAAACACGGCCTGTTACCGACCTTGCTCAAACACATGGGTTTATAAACAATTCGAGCCCAAAAAGCAACCCCAACGCGCTTCTTGTGACTGTAGGTAGCCTTTTTTGTTTAGGGCTAAGAATGCATCTAGCATCATCTAGCTATGAACCTAGCCTAGGATCAACGGTGTGCGCCTGTTGCAAGGTGCCACGACACCCGACCGCGCCTGAGGCATTGCAAGCTAACTCATACCTTTCCGAACTCAGCAAGGGCTCCAACGCATGCACCTGCATGCGCTGTGAACGGATTGCACGCCAACAGAGCATACGAGAAGACCGGAGATATGCAAGTCTCGATGTTGTGTACCAGCAGTCCGTCCAGGAGGAACCGTAACCCTTCAATAACTGCTTTGTTTTGTTATGTTTTATCGTTCAGATATTTGCAAACCTTTACCTCAACTTCTCTTCAACAGTCTTTTTCTGGACCGTTCGGGGTGTTTTCCAACGGGCCCGATGCTTGGGCAGTGCCAGTGTGCCAATCGCAAGTGCCAAGTGCCAATCGCACGGCGGACATCCCAGTCGTGACCTCATCTAAGAGCTGGCAATACTCGTCGAAGCGTTGCCTGGGCGCGACGGGTATTAGCGCTGGTCCGGTCGACGACGTGCCATGCCACCCGAAGAACAGGAACGAAAAGCACAAGCAGTTCCAAAGGGGTGCCGAGCGAACGGAGGATAGGGATTTCCCATTCTCATTCACTCACTGGATGGGACTAAAAACCATTCCTTTCCAACTGCTGGTATGTGGCATGTGGATTTTTCTTATATGGAATCCTTCCGACCAAAGTGCAGCGACTTCTTCCCACATATGTCATTGGTCGTGGTGACCTCTTTAATTGGACATCAACCTAAAACTATAAAGGCAAATCTTCCAACCACACTGCCCACTGAAACTGTCGGCTTACTTCAGCTGACAGCCAGGCCAGACCGTCGCGCACGGTCTAATCCAACTGACCGACGAAATCCGATCATCCGCGTCGCGGAACGATCGAGTTGACCGGTGGATCTGGTGGATCCGGTGGTTTCGTTCGATGACACTGGCACTCCAAGAGGTGTATTTTTTTTTCCTCTGGGTCCATCTAAACCACCTTCACTTGGGGTAACTTGCGCCATCTGAAACCACTGTAATTCGAAACAGCCACTTGCATCAAAAAACCCGTAAAAACAACATGACGCAACCAACTCATTCACCTCCTCACCAATCTCCCATCTCTCCATCTCCATCCCCAGCGGCCCGCGGCGCGTGAAGCAGCTCTCCCACGCGCGGCGGTGCACGGCGTAGAGCACCGAGTCTTCGCGCGCTCTGAAGGTCGCCTCCCCTTGAGACGCGTCGTCCGCCGCACACGGTCGAGGCGGATGGCAGCCGAACTGGGAACACGCAAAGGGTCCACACGACCGGTATCTTTTTCTGTGATGTTTTTGGGGGTTCTGTTCTTTTTTTTGAGGGGGGTTCTTTTCACCCTCCCACATGGGCCATGGGGTCTTTCTCCGGGCATTTGGGCGTCCGGTTGTTTTGATTCTTGGGAGAGATTCCTTGTGAGCTTGGCCAGTCACTCAGTCCTATGGGTCAACCTGAAATTCAGCCCCCGCGTTGCCTGCAACGCCGCTGATTTGGGTTGTGAGGAACGACACCTCCCCCACGAACCCCTGGATCCGGTAGGGTTCACCGGATTGACATGATGTGACTTGACTCACTAATCTGTGGAAACCTCAAGGGGTCAACTCGGGTGTGCCCAGGTTCCGGTCCGAGCAGATATCTCGGGTCCAAGAGGCGCCGCATGTTGTAGAGCAGTGACAACTCCCCTCAAGCGTGGCCGAGGAACCGCTAGTCACGGCTCGCGGCGGCGAGTCGACGAATGGGCTCCAGAAGTGCGACGCGGCTTTGAGTTGGATGTTGCTGTGCGGTCAACCGCCCGTGGTCAATGAAGATCATCTTCCTAAAATCCGGATCCAGCGACATGCTCAATTGGCACTTGCATCCTGACAAACGCCCCAAAGTCTGTTCAAACTCCATGCCACAATCCCATCGGCAACGCCAAACGAGCGAAACACTACCGGCTTAAGCCCACCGCACAGCTCGTGTGTTCCCCACTTCGGCCCCAAATCCCCAACCAAAAACGCCGTATACGTTAAAAGGAATGGTTGGCGATGTTTCTTCGTCCCATTCCTTCGCTATGAGTGGATGGCAGCTTCTCCCGACTCCGCTACCACCCCGACCGCGACGGCCACGGAGCGTTCCGACTCTGAGGGGCCGAAGGTGTCGCCGCTTTGGAGGATCTCGTGCTCCGAGCTCCGCGCGGCGGTGCTGGCGGTGCTTTCCTGGCGCGGCGTGCGCGGCGCGCTCGCGTTCGCGGGGCGGCGCGCTCGGGGTCTTCCGGAGTTGGGAGGTGATATCATGAGGGGTGTCTATATTTACCCTGGGAGTCAAAGACGATAAAGAGAATGGTCTTTAGGGGACCTGAAGGGGAACTTCCTTTACTTCAGCCGGTCAAAATATAGTCTTTGGACTTCTAGGGTTTATATCAGACCCGGGAGTGAAAGACTCATAAAAGAATGCTCGGTAAGGAATATCCTTGACTTCCGTCAGTCACATAATCTTTGGACTTCTAGGGTAAGGGACGTCCTTTTATTGTTTGGCAGGTAGCCGGTGTTTGTTGACTCGTTTCTCGGGTGTGGAGATCAAGAAGAGGAGGTTTGGAGGTGTCGATGGGCTGGTCGTTGGTCTGACACCAAAGGAGGAAGTCTCTTGGAAAACGTGCTTCATTCAGGTGCTGGAACAGCCCTCCTTGGCTCATGGGCCCTCACCTTGACAAGATCTATAGAAGGTAATTTGCCGGCTGTATGATTCTTCCAACCTACATTGTTTGGCTGTCGGAAGATCCAGTATATAGTACTGTAATCTACAGGTTCGGCCCGTGTAGCTCACTTGTTTGGGGAAGCGTATGGAAGCGTATGCCACCAAAAAACGCCTGTATGCCGCTTCCATACGCCTGTGGCCATCTATGGGGTGCTAGGTATCTCACTTGTGGTCAATGCTTGCTTTTGTTCTTTGGCACTCTAGATAATGCTTGAGTCCGCTCTTTTGTGCCCTTGTGTGAGCTCATACGTGAACTACCCTGGAACTACCTACCGCTAGCTTTGCAAGTAAAAGAACAATTGTGCAGAAGTCATCCGGTGCTCACCCCACCAACCTGGTTGAACACCCCACCCCACCCCGATCTCACTTGGCCGCCGGTCGCCGCCTCTCCGCTTTCGCCGTCTCCATCGTGGCGGCTTTCCTGGCAGCGAAGCTTTAATGGGGTGACCAAACGACTGTCTCAAACCAAAGGCAACAGACCCAGAAGTCAAGGACCAACCCAAAGCCCACCAAAGCAGGACGGATGGTGCACCAAATTTTTCTCACATGGGTCCCGTTGCTGTTGGCCTTGAGAGGCCTTCGTTCGCACCAGTTTCCTAGACGGCCGTGCCTCTTCAGTTCTTTCCTCCCCCCCCAAAAAAAAAACAATCCAAGACGTCGAGGACTTGCGATGTGGAATCAACCCAAACCCATGGGACTCAACTAATTATTTACGTAACCCCTGTACATATTCAATCATTACTCATCATGTTGACCTTTACAACCCTCTCAGGGTTGCCACTAATTTATTGTACGGTTGCCTAGCAGGGCAACTATTCCATATATGGATACCGAAGCATCATTGTCACTACCTAAAGCTGACTGTCTCCGACTGTCGCCGGCCACCTTGATGCGCGTGCATCCACGACCCATACCGCTCACGCAGTAGGAGTGAGTGACACCTGAGTAGCGGCGTTGAAAAGAACACCACGTCTGATCCAGCAGTCAGGGACGGGTGGATGAAATCACTCCATGGGCTCTAATAAATGTTCACCAGCTTCATTGATCCAATGCCATTTCAACAAGAAACAAGAAGTCAGACTGAACAAAAAAACATCCCCCAGGCCCAGGATGTTTTTTTTTGGAGGGGGGGTGGGCGGTCCCCTCGATCTTGACTCTTGATACATCAAGCCCCTCCAAACCAGATTATTTCCACCTGTGTCCATCCTCCACCAACCGTGGGGGCTTCGATTCATCAGAACCTGAATGCCCGGTGACCGCGTCCTCGTCGGTCTCGCGAAATGCCGCGGAGGGACGGTCTCGCGTGCGGCGCGGCGGGATGGGCGAGTGCAAGTTGGGTCGCATCGCCTGCCGCGATCGCGCGCGTCGAAGCGCGTCGAAGCGATTGATGGCATGGAATTGGGCATGTTTGAGGGCCACGTTGCGGTCCACATTCGGTCTTCGACATGATGCATCGAAGAAAAAATGCCACCCA